AAACAAATACAAAAATGAACTACTGGGACCACCTCATCAAGATAAAAAGCTTCTGCACAGCAAAGGAAACAGTCAGCAAAACTAAAAGGCAGCTGACAGAATAGGAGAAGATGTTTGCATATGACATATCAGATAAAGGATTAGTATCCAAAAATCTATAAAGAACTTACCAAACTCAACACCCCAAAAAAAAATCCAATGAAGAAATGGGCAAAAGACATGAATAGAGACTTTTCCAAAGAAAACACCAAGATGGCTAACAGACACATGAAAAGATGCTCACAGCACCACTCACCATCAGGGAAATACAAATCAAAACCACAATTAGATACCACTTCACACCTGTCAGAATGGCCAAAATTAACAACTTGGGCAATAACAGATGTTGGTGAGGATGTGGAGAAAGAGGCACCCTTTTGAACTGCTGGTGGGAATGCAAACTGGTGCAGCCACTCTGGAAACCAGTATGGAGGTTCCTCAAAAAAATTAAAACTAGAACTGCCCTACAACCCAGCAATTGCACTACTAGGTATTTATCCAGGGGATACAGGTGTGCTGTTTTGAAGGGGCACATGCACCCCAATGTTTATAGCAGCACTAGCAACAATAGCCAAAGTATGGAAAGAGCCCAAATGTCCGCCAATAGATGAATGGATAAAGAAGATATGGTGTGTATACACACACACACACACACACACACACACACACACACACACATATACATATATATACATACACACACACACACACACACACGATGGAGTATTATTTGGCAGTCAAGAAGAATGAAATCCTGCCATTTGCAACAACGTGGATGGAAATAGAGTGTATTATGTTAAGCAAAATTAAAGAAAGACAAATATATGACTTCTCTCGTGTGGAATTTAAGATACAAAACAGATGAACATAAGGGAAGGGAAGCAAAAATAATATAAAAACAGGGAGGGGGACAAAACACAAGAGACTCTTAAATACAGAGAACAAACAGGGTTGCTGGAGGGGTTTTGGGTGGGGAGGGATGGGCTAAATGGGCAAGGGACATTAAGGAAGACACCTGCTGGGATGAGCACTGGGTGTTTTATGTAGAGGATGAATCACTGGGTCCTACTCTTGAAATCATTATTGCATTATATGCTGACTAATTTGAATTTTTTTTTCAACATTTATTTATTTTTGGGACAGAGAGAGACAGAGCATGAACGGGGGAGGGAGAGAGAGAGAGGGAGACACAGAATCGGAAACAGGCTCCAGGCTCTGAGCCATCAGCCCAGACCCTGACGCAGGGCTCGAACTCACGGACTGCGAGATCGTGACCTGGCTGAAGTCGGACGCTCAACCGACTGCGCCACCCAGGCGCCCCTATGCTGACTAATTTGGATGTAAATTAAAAAAAAAAAAAAAATTCCCTCTCTCTGCCCCTCCCGCACTGGCACAGTCTCTTATTTAAAAAAAAAAAAAAAAGGCCTAGTTCTTAGATTGATTTCATCTGTTATCTTCTGCCTTTTTATTACATTAAATTCTACCTTTGTTTCTATTAATGCATTAGTATAATGCATTATTGGTTAAGGATCACATTATTATTTATATATACATTGTAGAGGAAAAATTTGTCTTAATATTTTCTCACATCTTCTTCTTTAAGTGTACAATTCAACAGTTTTTAATATAGACACAAGGTTGTGTGATGATCACCATTATCTAGAACACTGTCTAGAACATTTCATCACCTTTCTCCCCAAAAACTCCATTCCCGTGAACAGTCACTCTATTTTTCCCTCTCACTGAACCCTGGTAACCTCTAGTATATTTTCTCTGCATGGTTTTACTTCTTCTGGAGTTTCACGTAAATAGAATCATATAATATGAGGCCTTTTGTGTCTGGCTTCTTTCACTTAGCATAACATTTTCAAGGGTCATCAGTGTTGTAGCATGTATTATTTCATTCCTTTTTATTGCTGAATCACAACTTCATTGTATGTGTACTGTTTTGTTTACCTACTTACCAGTTGATAGGCATCATGTAATGTTTTTCCACTTTTTGGCTCTTATGAATAATAGTCCTATGAACCTTCATGAACATGTTTTTGTGTGGGCATATGTATTTTTATTTATCTTGCATATATGCTTAGGAGTAGAATTGGGTTATACGGGAACTTTTTGAGGCATTACCATAACTGTTTCCAAAGCAGCTCCACCATTTTAAATTCCCATTCAGTTTCTAATTGGAACCCAGTTGAAGGTTCCAATTTCTCCATCCTTGCCAACTGTTGTTATTGTCCATGTTTTTCTTTCTTTCTTTCTTTTCTTTTCTTTCTTTCTTTCTTTCTTTCTTTCTTTCTTTCTTTCTTTGCCTTTGTCCAGTGTATTGTCAAAAATTAATTGACTATAAATATAAGGGTTTATTTCTGGACTCTCAATTCTGTTCCAATGATCTATATTTCTGTCTTTACACCAGTATACCATACAGTTTGGGTTAGTGTAATTTTACAGCAAGTTTTGAAATGAGAAGTGTGAATACTCCATTCAAGATGTTTTTGGGTATTCTGGATTTTTTCATATGAATTTAGAATCAGCACACCAATTTGTGCAATGAGAAAGAAAGACTGGTGATAGGTATTAAAGAGGGTGCTTTTTGGGATGAGCACTGGATGTTATATGTAAGAAATGAATCACTGGGTTCTACTCCTGAAGCCAAGACTGCACTCTGTGTTAACTAACTTGAATTTAAATTGAAAAAACAACTAAATTGAATTTAAATTGTATCACCCCAAAGGAGAAGGAGAAGAAAAAAGACCATTGGAATTTTTATAGGGATTGTGTTAAATTTGTAGATCAATTTTGGAAGTGTTGCTGTGTTAACAATATTAAGTCTTCCCATCAATGAACACAATATTTTTCCCATCTTTCTTTTTTAAAAAAAAATTTTTTTTCTTTTTTAAATTTTACCTCCAAATTAGTTAGCATATAGTGCAACAATGATTTCAGGAGTAGATTCCTTAGTGCCCCTTATCCATTTAGCCCATCCCCCTCCCACAATCCCTCCAGTAACCCTCAGTTTGTTCTCCATATTTATGAGTCTCTTCTGTTTTGTCCCCCTCCCTGTTTTTATATTAGTTTTGTTTCCCTTCCCTTATGTTCATCTGTTTTGTCTCTTAAAGTCCTCATATGAATGACGTCATATGATTTTTGTCTTTCTCTGACTAATTTCACTTAGCATAATACCCTCCAGTTCCATCCACGTAGTTGCAAATAGCAAGATTTCGTTCTTTTTGATTGCTGAATAATACTCTGTTATATATATATACACCACATTTTCTTTATTCATCCATTGATGGACATTTGGGCTCTTACCATACTTTGGCTATTGTTGATAGTGCTGCTATAAACATGGGGGTGCATGTGTCCCTTCGAAACAGCACACCTGTATCCTGTGGATAAATGCCTAGTAGTACGATTGCTGGGTCGTAGGGTAGTTCTATTTTTAGTTTTTTGAGGAACCTTCATACTGTTTTCCAGAGTGGCTGCACCAGCTTGCATTCCCACCATCTTTATTTTTTTTTTAATTTTCTTCCTTTATTTATTTTGAGAGAGAGAGAGAGTGCACGCAGGGGAGGGGCAAAGAGAGAGGGAGAGAGAGAATCTGAAGCAGGCTCTGCACCATCAGCACAGAGCCTGACATAGGGCTCAGTCCCACAAACCACGAGATATGACCTGAACCCAAATCAAGAGTCAGATGCTTAACCAACTGAACCACCCAGGTGCCCCTGATTCAGTAAGATGCAAATTTTTTCATCTTTTTTGTCTCTTAACAGTGTTTGATAGTTTCCAGTGTACGAGTCTTAATGTTTATTACATTTTTTCCTAAGTATTTTATTCTGTTTGATGCTATTGTAAATAAAATTGTTTACTTAATTTCATTCTTGGGTTGTTCTTTGCTGATCTATAGAAAGACAATCAGTTTTTGGTCTTACATTCTGCTACCTTGCTGATCTCGTTTATTACCTTTAAATGCATGTCTTCTGCTTACTCTTTATTTTTGTTCTTCTTCTAGTTTTTTGAGTGCATATTAGGTCACTTAGTTTCATTTTTTCCTAATTCATTATAAGGCTATATACATTTTCCCCAATTATTGTCTTAGCCACAAACATCTTGAAATATTTGTGGTTCATTTTTAATTCATTGATTTTCTTTTTAATCCAATAATTTACAATTTTCAAGTGTTTGGAGGGTTATCTTTTTGTTGTTAATACTTTGGCATTGAGATTGGAGTTCATATCTGGTAGGATTTTTCTTTTGGAGTTTACTGATATTTTTCTGGTCTTGCTTCATGAGTAGCAAAATAGGAATGCTTTTTGTGTATAACCCCAGATAAACCATTTGGGACCACAGTGTCCTGGGTTTTTTGGACACAGTAGATAGAATACCTTCCATAAGATTAGTCTTCCCCTAAGTCCCTGCATAGTGAGTCTTATGCTATTTTACCTTATTCAAAGATATTTTCAAATGTCTTTGCAGCCACAAATAAGAAGAGTAATTCACCCAAGCCAGCTCGGTCCAGTATAGCAGGTAGTCTGTCACTTCGAAGAGCAATAGACTCTGGGGAAAATAGCCGTTCAAAGGGAGACTGTCAAACTCTGTCTGAAGGTAAATTTGGAGAGTTCAGAATGTAATTTCAGTGTGTAGATGTTTGTTATTTGAAATTGATGTTATGGTATAGGTAGATTTATATGTTTAAAGGCACCAGCAGTGCTGAAACTTGATTTGAAAGTTCTTGATCTCCCAAAAACAGACCCGTCAGTAATAAAATGCAATCATTAGACTCATATTCTGGACTCCTTAATTTTAAATACCTGGCATCAAAAAAAAACCTGGGATATGTCTTTAAATTGGCTTTGAGTCTGCCGGCAGTTTAAAAATGTGTATGTAGTGAGACATTCTAAAGTGGAAACTAGAGAACTTTTGTTTGCCTTCTTTCAGAGTATCCCATTTCTTTTCTGTAGGTTCCCCAGGAAGCTCTCAGTCTGGGAGCAGGCATAGTTCTCCCCGAGCCTTAACACATGGCAGTATCGGTGATATTCTGCCCAAATCCGAAGACCGGCAGTGTCAAGCTTTGGATTCAGATGCTGTTGTGGTTGCAGTTTTCAGTGGTTTACCTGCTGTTGAGAAAAGGAGGAAAATGGTCACCTTGGGGTAAGTTCTTTTGTTTATTTAGTGGAATAATTGCCAATAGCTTTATTCAATAGCACTTCTTAAGTCTATATCATGATGAATAAAATAAATTTCTACTTCGTTAATTTTTTAGCAGATATAAAGTTTATTTGTTGTATTAAAATCTATAGTACCGGGGTGCCTGGGTGGCGCAGTCGGTTAAGCGTCCGACTTCAGCCAGGTCACGATCTCGCGGTCCGTGAGTTCGAGCCCCGCGTCGGGCTCTGGGCTGATGGCTCAGAGCCTGGAGCCTGTTTCCGATTCTGTATCTCCCTCTCTCTCTGCCCCTCCCCCATTCATGCTCTGTCTCTCTCTGTCCCAAAAATAAATAAACGTTGAAAAAAAAAAAAAATCTAAAGTACCAGAGACCCTACTTTCTTTTCTTAGTGGAATGAAATGAGATGTTATTAGAAGTTCTGTTATGTTAGAAATCACTGAAGTTAAGAGAATAATATTGTGTAACCTTGTGTGAATTCTGCCTTGTGAGTTTTTGTTGTGTGTGTCAGCTCTTTAAAAATTTATTTTACTTTATTTTTTTATTTTTTCTATCTGCTCCACATTTTTTTTTTTTAATTTTTTTTTTTCAACGTTTATTTATTTTTGGGACAGAGAGAGACAGAGCATGAACGGGCGAGGGGCAGAGAGAGAGGGAGACACAGAATCGGAAACAGGCTCCAGGCTCTGAGCCATCAGCCCAGAGCCCGACGCGGGGCTCGAACTCACGGACCGCGAGATCGTGACCTGGCTGAAGTCGGACGCCCAACCGACTGCGCCACCCAGGCGCCCCGTCATTTTTTTTAATTTAAAAAAAAATGTTTTTAACCTTTATTTATTATTGACAGACAGACACAGAGCATGAGCAGGGGAGGGGCAGAGAGAGGGGGAGACACAGAATCCGAAGCGGGGCTCGAACTCACAAACTGTGAGATCATAACCTGGGCCAAAGTCGGTCGCTTAACCGACTGAGCCATCCAGGCGCCCCTGCTCCACATTTTTTAAGACTCTTGTGCTAGGCTACATTATGTCATAGATCTTCTATGCATGTTTTGTACAGAACAAAGCAATTCTAGCGTTTTTATTTTTAACACAGCTTTTGTACTTTCACTTTTTTTCTCTTCTCTTATGAAAATGTCTGCAAAACTCATAGTTGGAATTTCTCAAAAGGATATACTATCTGGTAGTCATCACCTTTATCTCTCACCCGGGAAACAAAAACTCACATCCCAGCCACGTCAATTAAACTTTTACCAATTAAAAAGATTAAGTGATTATGGGATATATTGTCTGTGAACGTGCTAGATGAGCCCTTAATACCCATCTGCTGATCTATTTTATGGATATTAAATATATTTCTAAATTTAAACAATGGAATAGTTCTACCTTGGAGACTTTGAAAATGATTTTGAATTAGAGAGAGAATAACATCCCTTAAATTTACTTAATTTTATATAGTTTTAAGGTCTGGATAATTACCAAATGTAAAGAACAGTTGGTGTAATTTAGTTTTCTGATTTAGCTCCAGTTTAAGCAGTGGAAAGGTGTTAAAATTATTAGATGTTATCTTGTCCTCCCCATTACCTAGCCTGATTTTATACGTATTCCATATTCACGTTGCAGCTACAACCAGCTTTTATATTTTGTTTGTTATGGAGATATTTATATCTGCCTTTAGTCATAACAATTAAATATTTATGAACGTAGACTTTTTTCTAGACTGTAAAATCCTTTATAAATATCTGCAGCCCTTAGCTTAAAAAAAATTTTTTTTTCAACGTTTATTTATTTTTGGGACAGAGAGAGACAGAGCATGAACGGGGGAGGGGCAGAGAGAGAGGGAGACACAGAATCGGAAACAGGCTCCAGGCTCTGAGCCATCAGCCCAGAGCCTGACGCGGGGCTCGAACTCACAGACCGCGAGATCGTGACCTTGCAGCCCTTAGCTTTAACCCTCACTTTACAGTTAATTGTATCACTAGCCTGGCTTATGTGATGTTTTCTAGTTTGTGTCTTTTTTTTTCCCTTCCCTAATTTATAGTAGTTTGTAAGCAAAAACTTTAAATACTAATAATAAGTGGTTAAAATGGAAGTAAGAAAAGAATATTAAGTGAAAATTTCCCCATCTTTGTCTCCCATCTGCTTAGTTTTCCAACCCCCTGCCCACACACTTCCCTGCTGTTTTTAATTTTTTATATATGCTGTGTTTTTTCAGTTCTTATGCATATTTAAGCAACTGTGACTATATAGCTTTTTTAGTACATAAAGCACACCTTATTTTCTCAGTAATATATCTCAAAAGTCTTTCTATATTAGTAAGAACTTATTATTTAGGACTTCTGTTTTTATCTTTTAATCAGAATTATTATTGAGATAATTATATGTTCACATGCAGTTCTAAGAAATAAAACAGAGAGATCCTATATACACCTTACGTACTTCCCTCTAATGATAACATTTTGCAAAACTGATACAATATCACAACCAGGATATGACATTGATACAGTCCATCATTTTCTAATCTTTTATTGTGAATCTTCTATTGGATTTTTTGAAAAATAAAGCACTAGTGCCATATACCCTACTTAGTTTCATGCTCAGTTTCAGGACAAGAAGAAAATGTAGATTATTGTATCGCTGACTAGTTACACAAAAATATCAGGTTGTTTTCTCCCTCTTTGAGGGCTACTGCTAAAGGTGGTCGTCTGGAAGGAATGCAGATGACTGATTTGGAAAATAATTCTGAAACTGGGGAATTACAGCCTGTCCTACCTGAAGGAGCTTCAGCTGCACCTGAGGAAGGTATGGAATGATAAAGTCATAATTAGGTGGAAGGTGAGAATAATGATCTTTTTTTGGTGTTGGTGTTGGGGGGTAGTTAAGTTATTGAGACATTGCTATCCAACATGGTTGATCTGAATACAGCATTTATTGTGCCACTGAATTTAATTTACTAGGACATCGAGCACACAGGAAGGCAAAATGGATAATTGGGTACATAAAAGGACACATCTTACTTAGATGGGACATTTGCAGGAGGGTGAGGGGAATCTATAGACAGTTCATCTACTCATTCACATCTCATTCAATTAATGTGTTAAGCCATCTATATGATAGGAATTGAGTTTTCTAGATATGCAAAGAAGAGATTAGATATGTTCACAGGCTTAGGGGAAGGCATGCACAAAATTATAGATTATTATATATAATATAATGTTAATTGTTAAGTACTTTGTCGGGTCCTTCCTTCCTTCCTTCCTTCCTTCCTTCCTTCCTTCCTTCCTTCC